AATATATCTTTATTGATTACAGAGAGAGGAAAGGAGAGGGAGAGAGAGAGAGAAACATCAATGATGAGAGGGTCATTGATGGAGCCCGCAGCCGGGCCTGTGCCCTGACGGGGAATCAGCCCCGATGGCCTGGATCCCAGGTCCACGCTGGGCCACTGAGGCGCGCCGCCCGGCTGTCCTCCCTTTTCACTGCCCCACGCGCGGCGCAGATGACGGGTCCTGGCCGGCTTCCGGCCGCCGTTGCGTGCGGAGGACACTCGGTGCGCGGCCAGCAGTTTGCGCGGCCAGTGAGCCCCTGGGAGACAGCGGTGACCTCTTACCGGAGCGTCGGAGCCCCCGGACCGACGAGCTGGGCCCTCCGCGGCCTTTCCCCCGCGCGATGGGGGAACGGGCTGTGAGCTGAGGCTCTCCCCGGGGAGCCTCTGTCCTGTCGGCAGAGGGTCAGGGGCTGGGCTGCGGGGACTCTGGGAAGAGGGCTCGTGTTCCTGGGAGACGCCGACGCTCGCGAGCGGGAGGAAACCTGTTTGGCACGTACTTGGCCTTAGCGAACTCTGCAGTGTCTTAAAGTGGAAATAAAGAGGTGGATCTTGTAGAGCCTCCCTTCAAGGGAGGGTGTCTGTGAAATGCTTAATGTAACAGATCCTGTGGAAGATCGGCAGTCATGGCAAAGAGCTTTTTTAAGTTCATGATATATAATGAGCCATAGAAACTTCACTAGACAATATTAATGTCCTCTTTAGCAGCATCCAGTAGGAGCACATGTATCTACGGCCAGAAGAATTTCTCACTGAGCTCCTGTTTTCCGTTAAAAGGCCGAGTGACATATGGAAACATCAAACTTAATGTAGAAAACATTCCTCTCGCCTGGCTTTTGTTTGGTCTCTCTATGGTTTTCAAAGTGGCTCATTATTTGTTGACTGCAAATACTGCTTATAGCCAAAAGGATGTTCTAGAATAAGCGATGATTTGAATTTCCTGTGTAATCTACACTCATGTAGCAACTGTCATCCTTTCTCTTTTAAAAATATTAAATGGATTTTTATTTATATGTATTAATTGTTCCAAGTTGCTGAAATACAAATACATGAAAAATGATAAGAAATAAAAATATATCTGGAAAACAATCTATCATTCAGAGACAGCCCCTGTATTGGTTCATTTAAATGTTTCTGTGTGTGTGTCTTCCAGGGAATCAGGCCTCCAGGGAGGTGCCCAGACTCAAGGACCATTCCCAGCCCTGACTGTCTTGGTGCACTTTCTGCCTTGTTTTCCACTCCACCACCTTCAGGTATGTTCTTCTGGAATCTTGCTTCTGAGCCTGGGGCTGCTGGTGGGAGCCTGGAATAGTCCTTCCTGCAGTTCTGTAGGGCAGCATGAGCTGTTCCCTGGTTCTGGGGCACACTTGGAAATAATAGAAAGGCTCCAGAGGGCAAGGCCCTCCTCTCTAACCTTCCACACTTGTTCCATCTATTCCTGGGCCCTGAGGGGTTTTTAATAATTTGTCAGCCATCCATTACTAAAGTTATTGAATAATTTTTAAATAATGTTCTGCTCCAAGGCAAAGGATTCTTTGAATATTAATATTCAATTATGTTTTCACTCCTGTCTCTTTTATACTTCAGCCATTTTAATAGCTACTGCACTGTTTTTCCCCCAAGTAATTTTCATTGAATTGAGTTCTTAAATTACATGAATTTGTGGTTATTGTTTTGAGAGAAATACATACCTGTAGCAGGAAATCTTCTTGTCAACATAATGACTGTTTAACACAGGACGTTTGGAACGTTTGTGGGAGCTGGCTGGGGTTTTCCATAATCTAGGAAAGATCAGCTCCCTAGGGGCCGCTTTGTATACAGTTCTAATCCGCTTATGATCTTTTTTGATGCCCACCGCTTGGAAGCGCAGACAGAGCACAGTGATTCCTAGGTACACTCTTCCCACACAGGGCTGTCCTACTTCATGTGCCTAGGGCTTTCCTGGATATCCCTATATCTCATTAGAAGAAAAATTCTAAAGGTAAAACAGTGTATTTTGCATTTCAATCTAAATTTGCCTTGAAATCAAAACTCAACATAATCCCATGGCCAATGCCTTGTTAGTTTTCCTAGCTCTTCCTTCCCTCTCCTGGGATTCTCCATATTCTCTGGATAACTCAAACCAGTAAACCATATTTATGGAGTACCTTGGGCCTTGTGAACTGGCCTGGAGAGTGGCTACCTTTTCCCAGTTACCATATCCTTGCATTAATCCAGGGCTTCTCTTTCAGATCTGATCAAAAACTCTGTCCTCCCTGTTGAGTGACTCAGAGGAAGATAAGAGGAAGCAGTGCCCAGAATCCAATTATCATCCCCCACACAGTTAAACAACTCTCCAGGGCCTCAGCCCCTTCACTCACCCGAGGAGGCCAAGGAGTCAAGTTCTCCATCACTGTACATGCACACAGCGGGCAGAGAGCAGAGCTTGGTCTCCACCCGGGCACTGCCTGTTCCTGTGATGCTGAATACACTCTCCTCCCTGTGCCTTACAGAGAAGACTCAAATTTCCAGGTATGGACTGGCATCCAGGGATCAGATGTTCTCACTATTCTGAGAAGAGCAGGTACTTCTCAGGGTAGAGGCAGGTGTTTGAGGGATGTAGAGCACAGGGCCCAGCCCAAGCATCCTAAAATGGAAAACACTGGTGTAAGAGCTCAGGGCACAGTTGGAACAGGGCATCCAACCCCTTTCTGGCCTTGTGGCCATGGAGGAGGACAGCATGGTCAAAGGTGGAACCTTGGGCTCCCCTTGGTTTTGGAGATGAATGTCAATTTTCTTCTCTGCAGAGTTTGTCAGCTTTGGAAGATGCTTGTTGAACATTCTTGGAGATGTGTACCTGACACCTTACAGGGTATGTCCGGATCCCATTTGGGAAAATCTTAAGGGACTCCTTTGTATACTTCATGTGGCAGTTCTCACACAAAGGCCATCCTGGGCTCCTAGAAGGGGCAGATGTGATGGTTCAGTGGATCTCTGATACTGTCTAGGGCCGAGCATCAATCATTCCACTCCCTGATTCAAGTTGAAGGTGGTTCATTTTTGTTCCGTGATTATCAGAATGTTTGACTATTGCAGGGACAGGCTAAATGGTTCTGAAATCATCCCTGCTTTAATTAAGGAAGTAGGCAAGAAGATGTGAGTTATCACAACAGTGACCCGCAGTGTCCCAAGTGTGAGCAGTTCATACTCATTAACCCATGAAAGAGTGTGGGCCATCTCTGCACTTGTGTATCACCAGCAGGTAGGGAAGCCTGGTAGGTTGAGTTCATAACCCAGCCCCTTGACCTCTGAGTCATCCAGGTCCAGGAGAAACTGCTTCAACAATGTGTTGGCCTTAGGGCACTTAGCAGTCCATGATGATGACAGTGGTGATGGTGATGATGACAATTTTTTTAAAATCATATACTAAAAAGATTTTTCTTCAAAAACAATTTGTTCTTTTATATCTCTATATCTCTATATATCTTAAGATTGTTTAATATTTTCAAAAACAGTTAAAGCATATCCTACTTATAGGCAAATCAATAGTGAAGCTAAATCATTTATTCCGGGAAGCCCTAATCCTTTGAAACATGCAGTGTCTTACAGCCCGTAATCATTAGCTGAATCTGACTGAAAGAAACATACAGTGAATTGTTTTTCTATTTCTTGGTGGTAAAATATGCAGACTAGATACCTGAAAAATATGTCCTTTGAATGTATAATTTAAATACAGCATTTCTACTTTAGAATCTGATACAGCCTGAAAGATGTCAATATACCACAAGTCCTCTTGAAAAGTGAAGAGTAGGATAGACCCCTTGCTTTAGCTTCTCTACAGCATTGCCCATAACAACCAAAATCCACAAAATAGTGAGACTTCTGGGAAGAGATAAATCTTGTTTTTGAATAATTAAGGACATAATCTGTTGGTGAAACAATAGACAAACAGATCATTGAAACACAATAGGGGGCCCAGAAATACACCTACACAATATCATCCAAACAACACAATGGAGAAAAGAAAGCCAGCAATAAGGGGAGGGTAACAACTGGAAATCTACATACAAAAAAATGAAACTTTGTTATAGTACTAAAGTTTTTGAATTCTGTTTATGTCATTTGTTACACTGGTAAATAAATTATAATCATCAGGTTTACTGTGAGGATTAAATAAGTAAATATATGTCCATATCCAAGCACAGTCACATTTGATGCAAATTTATCTTTTTTTTTTTCTTCTTTTTCTGGACCTCAGGTACAAACAGGTGAGTTAATCCTTCTTTTGCTTATAACATGTTGTTTTCCATGAAATCCCTCTGATTATTATTGGTATTTTAGGGGAGAAGTTAGAGTGTATAAATGCTTTCTTTGTATGTGTCTCTCACATTTGTGTGTGCTGTGTAGATATACACGTAAACGTGTGTGTGTGTGTGTGTGTCTGCAGTGAAGTCCAGGGACACTGCAGCTGACGTAGGTTAGTGGAAAATAGGGTTTCAAGGGTTTCAGCTACGACCTTACGAAAGTGTGATGTGAGCCAACTAGAGTGCCAGCCATTCTGTGTTCCCTGGGCACCTTGACCTCGGGGACCAGGGCAGTACTTGGTAGTAACTGTGACTTGTGTACGTCCTCCTGCTCATTTCTGGTGGCAGAGATTTTAAGGACCTGACTGGTGGGATGGACACCATTGATTCCTCTGAATGGAATAGTTTGGTGAATTGATGAACTCCATCATAAAAGGGGTTCTTAGTTGCTTAAGGACTTGAGAACAGGAGGGAGGGAGTGCCCAGAGGGCTCTGAAGATTGGAGAACCCCTGCTGGTGCATAAGGCAATAATAATGACACCTGAAATATTCCACAGTGCTTACCTGCAGGTGGAAACCAAAGTCTACATATGGCGTGAGTCAGGGATTGCTGTGCCTGGAAATCAGGGAGGGGATTGAATGACTCTGGATGCTATGGGCTAATTAACGTACAAAGCTCAGTAATTTTGATATTCTTATTCAAGAGGTTTCCGTATTTCTATGCTGTTTATTACCAACTCTAGACATATTCCTCTTTCTTTTGGCCCTGGGAGAGGAAAGTCATATGGGCATTTCTACTAGAGTGCACTGCATGTTTATTGGATAGGCTGGGAGTCACATCCAGGTGAACACTGGAGCTTCATGACTGGAGGGTGTGGAAATTGTGCACAAGACTGAAGTCTCATGACTTCTTTCTCTGTTCCCAGCTTTGCCTGCTCAGTACTTGAACTGTTTGTGAGTGAAAACCCAGAGGAAGACACCTGACAGCTGTGTCACTGACCATGCAGCCACTGGTGAGTAGGGAATGCCTCTTTCCACTGAATTCGCTGTGCTGTTGACATCAGCAGGCAGGTATCTCCTACTGGCCTAAGCAATCAGGAGGAATTCAGAGATTTGAGCTCCCCAGGACTCTCAGATGGCTGTAATGGGTCAGGAACACCCCAATAACTAATATTGTTCCTAACATTGTACTAATTTGCTCCAGCAGGTTGTGTATTTACAGAAGAGATGAGAGAAGCTTTCGTTCTCAGTCCATGGCCTCACTGGGAAATAATTCACTCATTTATCATGATATTGGCTACAGTGGTGTGAGGGTGGTGGTGAGTAGAGATGAGCCAGGAGCAGAACATTAGAGTCCAGTAGGGAGGCAGTGGTTTCAGAGAGAGGCCAGTCACTCATGTTACAGGTCCCTGGTGAGGGTGTGACAGACTGAAGGTAGGGAGATCATGAGGAATCAGTCATTAATTTCTTTCCATTTCTAAATTTAAGGTTCTGATAGAATATATTTTCCCTTTCAGAAACTTCTTAAAAAGATAACTTCTTAAAATTATCATTATTATTCTTGTCCCCAGTCACACATTTTGCCCTTTTGTAATTAACTTTTTCTCTCATATTTGGTAACTGGAATTCATGTGTAAAGAGTATTATTCCTTAACTGTGGCTGCGCATGCAGGGCAGGGAGTAGAGCACAGTAAAATGTAAGACCCTGGGGAAATTGTTGAAGAGCTAGACAGACCGAAACCAATCAAGAGGCTTCCCTTGTCCTTTAGCTGGAGCCAAGGTAAAGCTACAAAGGACACAGTGTTAACTGCTCTTTGAGGTTAAGATAAAGTCAAGAATGGGAGGCCTCATTCCACAGGACTGTCAGCCAGGACTGTCCTTCAGTGCAGCCTCTGAGTCCTGGCTTGTGCTGCTGAACATCTGACCTGTCGTTTGTTATGAGCATCTGAGTCCTATAGCAGTAAGACAGCTCCTACTGAAACCAAGTTCTGCCTCGACTTGTTCAGTTCTGAGGAATGCTGGAGATCTTCAAGATATTCTGATACGTTAATGATGTGTAATGTCTAGTGTTTAATGCAGGTTTTCTAGACAAGAAACATTTCATACATTAGTACATTGAATCTTTCAACACTCATAACAGGTCATCAAACCCTTTCATAGACGAGGAGTCTGAAGCTCATCTAAGAGAATAATATAACCATAGTCATGGTTTAAAAGTGACAAATCATGATTATTATTTGCCTTAATGATATGTTTATAAAGTTACTTGACATTAATCAGGAAGAGAGTTTTAGTTACGGATTTTTAAGGGCAATTTTTATAACCATGTGTCTGGAAGATACAATCAGTTTTGGAGTATTTCCAAGTTATAATCCACCATACTTCATATGATATTCCTTTTCAGTAAAGGCTTATTAACTCAGACTGTGTATATGTCTGTGATAGATCTAAAAGGCAGATGCCAGCTCAGCACTGAGAACCCCAAACTCTTTCTATACACCAAGCTCCTCAGGCCCCTTCCTCAGTGTCATCTCCACCCTCCTACTTTGGACATTGTCAGGATTGTTCTGTCTAAACCAGAATGTCCATGATATTTTAGGAATCAGTGACATTTGAAGATATAGCTGTAGACTTCACCCAGGAAGAGTGGGCCCTGCTGGACACACCCCAGAGAAAGCTGTACAGAGATGTGATGCTGGAGAACATCAGTCACTTGGTCTCCCTGGGTAAGTGTCAACTTTTATATATGTATGTAAGTAGGTAGGTATTCACCCACTCATTCATCCATTCAGTCAGTCAGTCAGCAAGTATCTAGAATACCTTCCATAGACCACTCCACTCTACCCTGATCCTTCATAGACCTTATAACTACGTGGAAGAAACTTGTCTCTTTTCATTTACTTACCCCTAGTTTGTCACCCCACTAGAATGTAACCTTGATCCCAGTTTAATATCTTTCTTATTATTCAATATCCAACACTTAGAGCAGAAGTGTGACTTCAGTGAATATTTTTGAATAAATTGATTAAATATTTCTAAGGTTATTCTGTTATAGTCACTATGTTGAGCTTGAGACAAGAGTAGTGAAAATGCCATAACTTGATTATTCTTAGGAGCTTATGTTTATTGGCATCTGTTTGAAAATAATAGTCAAGCCACCTGGGAGACATTTAATTTCCCCATTTTTGGAAAGACTGAAGATTCTGCATTTTCTCTGAATGTGGGTGTAGACATCAGCACCCAGAGGTCTCACTACTGGAGACACCTGGTCTGGATTTCTTCCCCATTTTCTCTTTTCACGGGGGTGGTTCCTGGAGTGACCTTCTGTGATCTTATTCTTCAGCAGCCTGTCCTGGTTGCATGATAATGCACTTTTATTAGCACACATCTCAAAACCCATGTACCTTTCTTCCACAAACAGGGTATCACATCTGCAAATCACATGTGACTTTCCAGCTGGAGCAAGGAGAAGAGCTGTGGAGGGAAGGAGCTGGATTTCTCCAAGGCCAGAGTGCAGGTGAGCAGCAGGGGTTAGTGCTTCAGTGTGAGCAGGTGCCTGTTCAGTGACTGAGTACATCCTTAGAATATCAAGTGAAGGTTTTAGGAAGTGAGTGACATTTTCCTAAAAGTAGATGAAGGACAACGGAGCAGAATTCTTCAGATGTTATCATTATTCCATACACCTTTCACAGTTCATGGGACCTCCTGCCATTGGCTTTAGAGAAAAGGATTTTCATATGCTTATTGAAGAACTCTCACATAAAAACTGTTGTTCTGATCCTCCCCTTTGAAGGTTTTCCCTCTCTTTACCCAACATCTCATCTCCATTGTACTTTTTTCATATTTCAATCCTAATAGTTGATGCCCTAGAGTGTGTTTCTACTTTCTAGACTATTGCCCATCAAAATGCCAATTTTTGAGACATACTCACATGGGCTTGGTGCTTTTCAACATTTTCATTACCCTAAAGCCATTCTAAATTTTTTTTTATAATTATTTTAGGCAAGGAAAGTGCTGTAAAAAATCAAGAAATGATAGCCACACAACATATCCTCAGGAAGGACACATTTACAATCATGCCACTGGTAAGTTTCATGGGTGTTGGCCCTGGTTATCCAAATTAAAACTTGGCAATGGAATGTAAGTAGCTGAGCACAATAGCAAGATTTATGTTAATCTGGGATTAAGCTTTTTCTGAGCAAAAAAGTTTTGGGTAGTTTAAATTTAGTGAAGGAATTAACCTAAGCTCAAAACTTTAACCAGAGATCTTAATAAAAAGGATGGCTGCATGCATATTGCTTGTGTGCCAAGTCTTTGAAATGTATCGAATTTTTCAAAATTGATCTGTAAGCTGTGCATTTCGGATGCTACAAAAGAGAAAATCTTTGTGTGTGGAGGGGAGTAACACACCATGTGTATGCAGGTAACATGGGAAAGATTTTAATTGGATACCACCACTGAAAGATTAGTTTAGTGCTCATATATAGAGAAGTGAATGAATCAACATATATGGGCAAATCATTAACAGCCTTTTATCTTTCTCAAAGCAGAAATCTCACACTCCAGAGGATCCCTATGAATATAATGATTTGGGAGATTTCATTCATAGCTCAACAGTGACTCAACATGTGTTAACTCACATGGAAAAAAATACCTGTTTCAGCAGACAGTGTCAAAAATGCCTTAGTGACCAGTCATATGTTAATCAACATAAGCAACTTTACACCAGAGTTAAATCATATGAGTGCCATCTGTGTGGGAAAACCTTTAGTAATTGCTCTAGTCTTAGAAGACATGAGATGACTCACACTGGAGAGAAACCCTACCAATGCCATATCTGTGGGAATGCCTTTATTCAAAGCTCTGACCTTAGAAAACACAGTCTCACTCACACTGGAGAGAAACCATATGAATGTCACCTATGTGGGAAAGCCTTCAGTCAGTCATCGAACCTCAGACAGCACCAAAGGACCCACACAGGAGAACAACCATACGAGTGTTGTCAGTGTGGGAAAGCCTTCAGTAAATGTTCTGCCCTTAGACGACATGAGAGAACTCACACTGGAGAGAAACCATATGGATGCCATCTGTGTGGGAAAGCCTTCAGTCAGTGTTCTGCCCTTAGACGACATGAAGGAATCCACAATGGAGAGAAAATTATGAATGCCTTCAGTAAATATTCAGACCTGAGATGACATGGGATTATAAGTGTAACAAGTGTAGAAGAAACCTGTCATAGCTTTAACATTTAAGCACACTGAGGATTCACACATTGAGGAATGATTGTGGAAGATCCTGCAGTCACTCTTACTCATCAGAAATGTGCAAATGTGTATGGTAGAGAATCCATTTTTATGGCATCTATGTGGCAAAAGCTTCAGTCAGCGGTCTGACTGCAGGTGAGATGGGGGAACTCACAATGGAAGTATAAGGAATGCAGAAGTCAGCAGCAGCTCTCAGCGTTATGCTAGAGAATTCACACAGGGAGAACCCCTCAGTCTGTAATCACTGTGGGAATGCTTTCATTTTAATTCACGGTGAACAACGTGAGAAAACCCCATTGGGGGAACCCCGTGTATGTAATCACTGTGAACAAATACTCAGCCAAGCTCCAGACATGATGCACACAAGGAAATTGATGGAATAACCTCTCAAACAGGATGTACAAGGCCAAAACTTCTTCAGAAATACCAGTAATATATCCTTGGGAAGGGATTCAGTGAAAACTTAGAATTCCTTTATTCAGAGAAGAACACTGGCACAGTGAGAATTCGAACTGTACGAAACACTTGGTGTTACGAAATGACAGTCTTCAGTGATCATCTGTTTATAGTCAGCACTACCTTCCTCACAGTGAAGGAGACAGCAGTCCTACACTCAAAGTGGAGAAAGCTTCAGCTGGATTTCACACCAGAAAACTAAGTCCAGGAAAAATTAAACCCTCTAAGAGAGCCTCTTAACATACTATTTAGCAGAAAAAATAACTATTCACGGTGAATTGTGGCATTTAAATGTAAGAGTGATCTGGGCATATTAAATGCAGAATTTTATAAGAAATTAGGTTAAGCTTTTTTAGTAGATTATTGTTTGTAAATGTGAAACAATAAATCCTATTTCTGAAAAAGTCTTTTTTGGTAAGTTCTAATTTTCTTAGGCAGTTGTAAACACACAGATTTGAGAGTCTGCACTCCTTGGCATGTGGGTTACAGGTTGAGCTTGTCTCTCAGTCGTCTTTTCTCTCACAGCTGCTTTCACACAGCTCACCATCAGCTGTCTCCATCATTGCCCAGGTGGTGACAACAGGAACCTTCACCCAACTTGATAGGTTTCTCCATGTGCTGTGACCTGAGCCCAGCAGGGTCATGGGGGCAGTGTCATAAGCATCTAGTATAAATTGTTGGATAGGCCCCAGCCCTGTCTCTGCCACTGGGCAGTGCTGCCTCCCAGGCCAAGAATTTTTGGATTATTTCCATGGTACTTCTGACTCAGACTAAGTGGGGGAGGAGTTCCACCCACAGCCCCATCCTACACCTTACTCAGGTAGTCCTGAGTTATGCACATACTAATTCCATAAAGAAGCACTGGTGTGCTTCCATACAGCAGCCCTGAAAAGAAATCTCCAGCAAGATAGAACCCCCTAACCTATCAGATACCATATAAGCCTTCTTACCAGTAAGTTAATGTACCCTTCCCCAAGGAAAATGGAATTTCTCACAAAAGAGGTCTCCCTTGCTTCGCCCCAGGGCTTGGAGGTATATTACCCTTCAACCAGCCCCAGTCCTGGACCTGAGTCTCAAGGGGAAATGCTCTCAAGACATAAGTGGGCTGAGATTTGCTCTTCCCAAACGGGCACAACCCCAAAAACAGCCGGACAGCAGTGAAATGAGCACATCTCTGGGTGAAACTTGTAAGTTCTTATTTTTTAGGAATCTGCACAGGTGATTCTGTGCAGCCAAGGTAGAGACCGTCTAATGTGAGGAGGATGTTCATCCAGAATTCAACTTCTTGGCCCCCTGGCTGGAGAGGCAGGTGTTTTCAGGCAGGGACACGTGGAAGTGTGAGCAAGAGTCAAAAAGAACAGATTCATGGTGAGAAGCTCAGACCATGGAGACAGACCCCAGGCATTGTGATTTCCGCTGTAACAGCCCATGAGACCTTGTTACTGAACCTTTCTGTGACTCAGATTCCTCAGTTCAAAGGTGGAAGTAGCTTAGTACCTTTATCTTAGAGTTGTTACGAGAATTGATGTATTGATACCATATACACCAAGTTATTACAGGTGGTGGGCACTTTGTGTTGGCAAAAATATTTTACGACTACTATACTTGAAACCTGTGCCCCAATAAATTCAATAAAAACAAAAAATAAAATAAATTTACCTTGAGATCTGGGTACACCACTCTTTATCTCATTTTTATATTTCATAATCACTTTCTAAAATAAAATCAGGTTTTATTATTACATTTAATCTGCTTAAGACAAAATATAATTTATCCCCAAGCTGTAGTTGACTTCAGCTGTGACCCTGGGCAAGTACTGAATTTGAGCCCATTCTGGTGGCCAGCCAGGAACCACACCCTCTTCCCAGTGGCCTCCAGAAGGGAAGGGGCAGTCTGGCTGCCTGCTGCGGGTGGTGCCTGTGCTGCTGCTGGGATCCCCGGGATCGATGCCCACACCCAGGGAAGCTCACATCCCAGTGGGATTGACCTCACTGACCTACATACGTTAGTATATTGAGCAGTTGTAGGGAGATCAAGGGATATGGGGTGGTAACTGCATGACTACAGGTGGCAGAATCACACAACTAGCTTCATTTGAGAGGCACATTGACAACTTGCCTGTTAAAGGAAGTTCCTCAAAGGAAGGCTCCTTCCAGAGGCAACAGTGTGGGGCCAGCACCCAGAAGGGAAGGGACCTTTTTGGTTATTAGTAGAGTGTGGGAGCTCCGCAGGAAGAAGGTGCTTCCTTGTCCAGATGAAACCTCTCTGCCTGAAAGACTGGGCATCTCTGGGTCAGAAAACTACAAAGGAAAATGTATTACTCTTCTTATGAATGTATAAACCAAATAATAAAATCTTCCATCTAAATGAAAACAGCAGTGGATTTAAAAGATTTCACCATGGCCTGGCTGGTGTGGCTCAGCAGTTGACTATCGACCTATGATCCAGGAGGCCGCTGGTTTGATTCCCTGTCAGGGGACATGACCGGGTTTGGGGTTCAATCCCCAGCAGGGGTGTGCAGGAGGCAGCCGATTAATGAATGACTCTCTCATCGTTGATGTTTCTGTCTCTCTCCCTCTCCCTTCCTCTCTCTGAAATCAATAAAGACATATTAAAAAACAAAATGATTTCACTATGATGGCCACAAACAAGAGATCTACCCAGATCATCTTTCGGTGATTCACCCAGATTCAAAGTAACAGCATAAACATAATGGATAAGCAAGGCCTGAAAGCTTTGTTAATTTCTGTATTCTCTCAACTGTCTATTCCAAAACGAGAAAAACTATTTTTTCAGGTAAATTTGATATAATAGCTGACAAATAAAACGGTATGACCTAAGATGCACAGTGTGGTGCTTCACTCTACACAGTCATTGGAAGAGAAGCCCTACAACCACGGTCTTGAACACATCACCCCTTCACATCACCCCCAACATGTCTCACTCGTGAGGTGGGAAATCCTAAGATCTTATGTCTTGGACAAGTTATAGGTGTAATATTAGAAAATTGTGTTAAATTAGGTAAGCCCTCATCAAGTGTTTTAGAAAACATTAAAACACTCCTAACTGAAATATGTCACATTAAATGAGCGGCAGTTAACACATTCAGAGCTGGGAAAACTTTCCACGAGAAAACACGTTTGATAACATTCAAAGTTCCAACACATTCCATCTGAAGAGATGGGGAGCATATTGAAAAATTAATAACTAAAAGAATTAGGCTAGCATGGTGTGTGCAGCTTTATATGATTCCCAGGGTAAAAGAAGCTTATTTTCAGACTGGACCAGTTAACTCTGACTTAACTGGGAGGGTGATCCTGAGAGTGGACAGTCCCACCCTGTCCCCAGGGAGGGAGGGAGTGGGTGAGTTAAGGTTAATGGAGCGACAATCAGGGACAGGCAGCCCCTGAGAAGAGGGGTGGCCAGGCTGAGCCCACCCCCCTGCAACCCCACCCCCATGGAGGGAGCTGAGGGACAAGGGTTCCAGGGCCTAGACTAGGCTCAGCAACGGGATGGATTAATCAATCACAGATGAAACACAAATCAGAAGGTCACAGGGACTTCACATATATGCAAATTATAACGTGGGAAACTACCCAGAAGCCCCCAGTACAAACTGGAGACGCCCCACCTGTGCTGGCGCCAGTGGGGGTGGTATCCATTGACTTGCTTCAGAGGCCTCCATGCTCCAGGAATAAAGTCGAAAACATGGCAATGGAGTGACTTGAGTTTCCCTTCCTCAGTGTCTCTTAATAAAACCAAGACTGTGCCTCAAACTATCCATGGCCAGGTGCCAGTGGAAGAGAAATGGCAGAAAAAATCAAGCATCAACCCACAGGAGGCTGAACAAACAAGCCCCAGTTCATCTCCATCCCCCTCAGGGAAAGACTGTCACCTGGGGACACGGAGCCCCATGTGTCCACATGGGAAGACTCAGGGACAAGGACCTGAGTCACAAGGCAAAGTACAAAATAATCCAGTCCCAAAAGGGCAAAACTGGGGGCTCCTTTCCTGAGAATTTTTAGTGTCCGCTTCCCAGAGACAGAGGGGACAGTGGAGGCAGCCGGTCTGCAGAGCAGAGGAAGACAAGGTCATTTTCTTTCCCTGTTTTTTAACAAATTCCATTGTCCTTGGATTTCAATTCCCTTTAGTTTCATTCTCCCTTTCTCTCTTATTTTTTCTTTTATTTGTAAAAAAAAAAATGTATTTAAACTATATTTTTATTTGTTTCAGAGAGAGAGGGGGGGAGAGAGAGAGAAACATTAATGTGGGAAAAACACCAAACAGCTGCCTCCTGCACACCCCTGTTTGGGAATCTAGACTGAAGCCAAGGCGGGTCTCCTTCGGAGGAATAGAACCCGCCACCTCCCGCTACCTGGGACCACACCCAACAACTGAGTCACACCTGCCGAGGCAGGAACAGGTAGTTTTCCTAGAAACTGAGTGGCAGGAGGACACCTGAGAAGCTCAGGAGGTGGCCAGCAGCGATGGCTGAACTCACAGGGACGGGCTAATGCCGCGGAACTCGGCACTCGGTGTGCTTCTAGACATACACATATCTTTAATTTTTATTGTTGACAATTTGTCTCCTATTACCCCCTCCCCACTTCCCACTTCGCCACACGGATGTCCCTGTCCCTGAGCTATGCATATATGCATATAAATTCCCGGTTAATCTCTTATGAGCATATCAGTTCTGAAATTAATCTCTTATAGGCATCTCACCTCCTTAAGCAAGCAGAGGGCAGAGGGGTGAGCAGGCTTTTTCCACAAGTGTCCGTTTTTCTTACTCAAAATATATCCTCAAGCTGTAAGAAAACGGGTCCCTATAAAGGGTAAAAAAGCCTGAAAATGATAAAGGACCGAGGATTACGCATCCTGTCCACCCTGCTGTCCTCCAATGGGATTATGCTAATTGTGGTCACTCCCAGGCCCCACCTGACCTGAGCGCAGCTTATAAGTCTCCGGGGACAGGAAACCCTCCCAGTGACCCTTCCTCGGGCGCCCTGGAGGCCGCATCCAGCGCAGTGGAGCTGGTCCAGCGCCGACCGTCCTGAGGTTCCTCTGAGTTCGGGTAGGTTTCCTCTGAACTGGGCCCTTGGGTTGTCTCTGAGACCCGGGCACTGGGAGAACTCGGGAGTGATGTGGCTCTAGGCACAGGGGTCAGGATTCGTTCATGTTCATAGAAACTCAGAGAGAGACAGATAAACTGCGTCTTAAAGATGCTAATTGTTACCCCAAGAGCACATTTCAAGGGAAATGTTCACCATTTCATTTGTGGGACTCGGAGGGTGAGCAGTTGTGGAAACTGGGTAGACTGGGCTATGGGCACTGAGAGCTAAATAATTCATTTGTTCAGACTTAGTTTCAACTAACTCACTTTCAGTTTATTAGAACAAAGTTAACA